AGAGGGAAGTTTTTTTTTTTTCATATATAACTTGTCTTTTGAATCTGTCCCTGCAGACCAGTGAAATCCCCCGGGACTGGAAATCGGTTGCTGTCATCCCACTCCTCAAGGGGGAAGACACCTCAGGCCTAAACTGCTACAGACCTATATCCAACTTGCCTTGCCTCTCAAATGCCGTGGACAAACTGGTCAACAAACAACTTACCCACCACCTGGTGTCTTACAGCATTCTTGCCACCATGCAGTCTGGCTTTAGAACTGGTCATGGGTGTGTCTCTGCAAAAAGTGCTTAATGATGTCATATGCTCTGTTGACAGAAAATAATATTGTATGGCCATATTTATTGACCTGGCACAAGCTTTTGACTGCATTGATTGCATTTTGCTTCACAGACCAGGCCATTCTCACATCCACCTATATGCTGACGACACCATTTTGTATGCACTATCATTGGCAAAACCCTTCCATATCTCCATTCAATATTCATTACTCTGGTGAGCCCAAAAGTCTGTACCTCCTTCAGCTGTCACTCTTTTCAGTCCAGTCCAGTGACTGGAAAGTTGCTAAAACTGCACATCTTTATTCCATTATCCTCCTTCAATAACTCAGTACATGCATTAGTTTCCAATCATGGCACTTGCTTTTAATCTACTTTTGTGGAACACAGTAGTTTGACCTCTGTTGTGTACACACTATATTTTGTGCTGTTTTAACTTTGTTTAACTGTTTAGTTTTTCATATTAGCTGTAGGTTTTACTTGTTGTATTGGATTGCGTCTTGCTGCTGCCTCTTGGCCAGGTCATCATTGTAAATGAGAATTTGTTCTCAATTGAACTATCTGGTTAAATAAAATAAGTAAGTAAAATAAAATAAATAACAAAGGCCCCCTCTGTTACAAGAGAAGAAGTCCTGGTGACAACGTGCAGCTCCCAAACAGAGTTTGGCGTTGTTTTTGTTTTTCTGCGACTATCCAACTAATGAAAAGTGGGTCGACTAAGACTATTCACATTGATGGTTAAATCAACTATTAGGGAGCAGCCATAGTGTTTAGTGCTAATTAGAAATTGTTTATATTGTTTATATATTGTACTAATATACTAACTAGCCATTGAATAGGAGCACAAACAAAAAAAAATGCATTTCATCTGGATTTATAACAGTCCACCTGTCAGATGGCTACGTGCATGGAGTTTCTCTTAAACAGATGTGTGTCTGCTGAATCGCTTTTTGTTCTGTTTTAATAAAGGTATTCAGCAACCTGTTACAGAACTTATACGTAACTGTTGAAAAAATGCTTTGCCTCCTCAGTAAAGCTTTATGTATCTATACACAAATGAAACACAACCAAAATTGTTGGCACACTTAGCTGTTGCTATTAGCTCTAGCAGCAGCAAGGATAACGCAGAGGCAGAGTTAGCTCAGGGTAGCTTTGTATAGACCAGCTGCAGACTTTACCCCAGCAGCGACCCTTTCCACATCCACCAGAAGCCTCCTAGAGCTTTGCTTCCTACTGTCACTGCTCCTGTTGATCCTGGGATAGAGGAACCAGTCCAGGTTCACCTACAGGCCTACCCTACTCGAATAATAAATGGCCAAAAATGCTCATTTAACAAGATGGTTTAATGGAAGAAAGTGGGTGGAATATTCAGAAGTTGTTGAAATTTAGTATTGGGTGTGGAGTGTTAAGCCTTCACACAATCCGGCTTTACTAATTGGAAATGTGAAATAGAAAACACCAAAGGCTAGACAGGCATCCAGCAAGGAACAGTTGAAATGCAGTGCTCTTTGGATGGAATACTGTAGTCGCTGTGCCACAGGAGCTGAGGTCTCTACACTAACGAGGGACAACTGGCCAGGAATCACTTATACTTGAATGTGATCGTGGTTATCCTTGTTCTTTTTGTCACACCAGCCACCGTTGAGGAGGACGTTGGCTGCTTTTGACTCAAGCGGGGAGGGGGAAGTGACCAGTTTTGTTTATGATGGAGTACAAACTGTAGAAAGACAAGGCCCTAGCCAAGGTATTTTGCAATATCCTGAAAAATGCCACATCACATGAAATTCTAAACGAAATAATAGGGATCATGAGTGAAATGGTGACTAGTGAAATAATTAAGAAATAAGAGAGAGCTGGTACACACTGAAGGTGGACAGGACCATAGACCCGAATGGCTGCGACAATGTGTCAATTGTGGTCCGTTATCTGGACAGCAGAAAAAGTACTCATGAGAGACTGCTAGGAATGGCAAGTACAAAGCACTGTGATGTGTTAAGTGTAACGAACCTGGTCCTTTCTGAGCAGGCCTAACCACAGAAAAAATCCTCAGCCAATGTTACAATGGTGAAAGTGTAACGTTGGGGAAAAGAGGGAAAGTACAGCAAATATTACAGGAAGTACAAGAAGTCTCAAATGTACATTGTTTCAACCGCCGATTACATCTAGTGGTTATACACTCCATGTCATCTGATAATGCACTACAAGCCTTTTTTTAAGAGTGTGACATGCTTTACAGGTTTCTGAGAAAGCCAACTGTGGCCACAGGGAACGTCTGAAAAGGCTACTGGACTAAGTCAAGTCAAGTCACCTGGCTACCGTGTCAATCATTGTAAACACTTATGACACTGTTGCAATATAGTTTGAGCAGTCCAAGACCCCCACTTCAGGTTTACTGCGGTTATTGTTATTTGTTTATTTATTTACTCATCACATAACTGTTCCTAACAACACTGACTGTGTGTTTGTGTAGATGTATCTATTACTATTCAAGGTTGTATGACTAAAACTAAAACTAATGCTCAGGGTGATGTTACCATTGAAAAACGTTTTGACTGATCTTAAAGGTCTTAATCCAAACTTTGCATTCTTACAAGAAACATAATAAAGGTCTAATATGTAACATTTTGTATGATCTGTTATCAGAAGTAGAATATCATACTCTGAGGTATGTTTTCATTAGTGTATAATCACCTGAAAATAAGAATTATTTATGATAGGGTTTTTGTTACCTTAGAATGAGACGTTTTTTTCTACAGAGGGAGGAGTGGGTTTAGAGCTGAACTGTATTCAAATGGTTGCAATCTGCAACTTCACCACTAGATGCCACTAAATCCTACGGACTGATCCAGACCAAGTGATCGCTTCTGAATGCATAAAGACAGGGTTGGTCAATTATTTCATTCCAACTTCCAAAATAAATCTTTTTTCCCTTTGCTTTGTAGTTATGGACACCATTTAAAGCTGCAGTAGGTAACTTTTATAAAAATAACTTTTTTCATATTTGCTGAAACCTTTACTATATCCTGACAGTACTGCACGAGAGATAATCTGTGAAAAAAATAGGTTCCTCTGGCTTGTCCTACATCTGTTTGGATCAAATACTGACATTTTGGGTTGTAAAGCATTGGCATTTGACAACCTGGGAATGAGACTCAACAGTTCTTGGCTCTGATTGGTTGTTTTCGTTCAGGTGCAGTGGATTCTTGCAAATACCATTAGGAGCACTAGGACAAGCTGGAGGAACCTGATCCTCTCATAGATTATCTGTCTCATGTACTAGTGTCTGGATATAGTGAAAACTTAAGCAAATATGACAAAAATATTTTTAGAAAAGTTAACTAGTGTAGCTTTAATTATCTTGAGATAATGAAGTTGTGAACATAATAACATCAGTAAATACTTGCTGCTCTGGACTTTACACATAGTGATCATTACCACCAGCTGAGGGAGATTGTTGGAAGCAAACCCAGTCTGTTTATACATTGTAGAGTTTACTCATTTAACTGGAAGTCTGCCTCAACTTACAGAAACCTGAGAATGAGTGTGTGTGGGTCCGTCAGTGAGCCTGTGAGTGGGTGGGGGCTTTGACACCCTTGGGCCCCAAGAAATTCTTAGCTAACGTTCTTGGGGTTAGTGAACCCCCCCAGCCCCACCGACACACACACACTGACGTCACGTCTGGAGGCTGGCTGCTCGCTCTGCTGACACAGTTCACCTCCAACACCGAAACTTTCCTGGAGTTCTCAGGCTCTTCTCACTGCGGACCAAGTCAAATCCTGCTCAGAGGTAACCCTTATTGCTGTAGGAAAAAAGAAAGCGGGGCTATATTCACTTATACACCCGATGAACTATTTTACGTTACATGCCCTGTTTTATTTCCAACTTTTCAAAGTGAAGCCAACGTTTTTTCCTTGGGTAACGTTAGCTTACTTGGTGCATACCCACACCGGGTCGGTACCTACAGGAATATGCTCAGGAATACCAAACTTTTTCTTTCTTGTAAGAAGTGAGAGGATTTTTCACGCAGCCGAAAGCGTCTTTGTCCACTAAAACTATTTCCTTAACTCCATATTCGGTGTGGATATGGCTTGGATAAGATGGGGCCTCTTATTTTCGTTCGGTTTGTTTCTTTCACCGGTACGTGTGTCAGCGGAGCAGCTGCAGAGTCAAAGCGGCTTCAGGAGGCTGTACGTGCTGCAACCCAGGCCGGGGCTGGCCGGAGCGGACGGCGGGGTAAGAATTAGCTCCATCTCTACCCGCCACGGCACGGCCGGGCAGCCACACACGTACAACGTGGAACTCGCCGCTAACTACGGCGGCCAGGTCCGGAACCGCAGGATGGGGAACCAAGCCGCTTCAGCCCCCCAGTCCAGCCAGCAGCAGCCGGCCGTCAGGCAGAGCGGACCCAAGCAGAACCAGCAGAAGCAGCTCATGAAGCTGTCGGGGTAAGACAGTTAGGATAAGTGTCAGGAGGGAGGAATGTAGGACTTCCTGTCAGCTTTTATCATAAACCAAACAAGCATCAGTCTGTACAACTTTCACAAAAGTATCTGAAAGTAACTTTCAGATACTTTTCTGGGCACCAGCTGGGCACTGGTGCAGTAGCCTATATTAAGATACTACCATAGCCAGCCTTATCTTAATGGCACAGGCCTAATTTCATAATTCAAATTCGAGTATTTTTTAGTAAAAGGCACTAAATTGTTATTAGGTGCAGACTTTTAACGGAGAGTAATTTGAGTTGACAGTGTTGACAGATTGTTTGCACACTCACTGGGCTGGTCAAACTACCTGACCTGTTAAATGAACTCCGTTAATGTTTGATTCAATGCTAATTGAAGTGGATACAATGCGATTATTTCTTACTCCAAGTCAGATGAATTTCAACCTTAAAGAGTAGTAATGGTATTTCTGTTATTTATTTATTTATATATATATATATATATATATGAGACATTTTTTGGAAACTGTCTCGTATAAAGAACATACCCCTATTTGCATAAAATTTGAGTTTAACATTTATTTTGTTTTTTTGGGGCTCACCTGGTAGAGCTGGCACCTGTGGGTGTGAGTCCAACCTGTAGCATATTGCTGCATGTCACCCCCCTTTCTCTTCCCCTTTCCGGACTATGTGAAAAACATAAAAGTTTAGTTTTTTTATGCAACCAGAACAGTGGGATCTGCGTTGGTATCACAGACTATGTAATTAAAAATACATGTAGTCTCCCATAGGTTTTTAAAGAGCCACTGTGAAGCTCAGTGTGTGGAGTACCATTTTGAAGCCAGGTGACATACTGTGAGTTGAGCTGCTCTAATTGGCTGTGCAGTTTGGACTCTTTTATAGCAGGAAACAATGGCTGTTACAATCATATTACTTCTAAACAAAATTTTGATTTTACATGAGAATGCAGTAAGAGAATCTTAATTTATATTTAATCAGCACTGCCTGTTTGACAGTTTGATCTGAGTTTGGCGCATTGTGCTGGATGGACTCACTGAGAATGACTCAGTTTCAAGGTAGCCACGCTCTAAAGCATACCCTGCTTTATCGTCTATTTTACTCTAAATGGGACCATAATTTACTAAATCATGTTTACTGAGCTAATAATCAAGTGAGAAGTAGGGTAATTTCTCTATAAAAGTGCATGGTATATTTTTTTATGGCAGCCAATCAAGCTCCCTCTGCTGGCCTTTACATAGAATGCAGGTTTAAAACACTTAAGGCATTGGCTTCACTTCACGGACCTGGAAACTCTGTCCATTATATATGCTGGAAATAGGCGGAGAGTTGGAGCTTGGGTGAAACTGAGGCAGTTTGAATGATGCCTGATTACTGAAACCAGCCACCTGTGACATCAGCCACCTATCATCCACCATTATGTTCTTAATAATGCATAACTTTAAGCCTTGGCATTATTAAGAAGTTATAGGTAAAAAAAAAAAACAATAACATTAACAATGGCTCTGTTGTATTCAAGTGTCCCAGTGGGACGTGACAGTAAGGCAGCGAGGCAGCATGCACAATATCAGGGGCTTCATTTAGAAGAAGAAGATACTCTTCATTAATCCCCAATGGGGAAAACATTTTTTTACACACACATAGGCCTGAGATACAATCATGCACACACATAGGGCTTATAGACAAGCAAATGTGGAGAGATGGTGGAGTCATAGGCTGCCACATAGCAGTTAGTGTTTAGGTGCCTTGCCACATACTGTGGTCTTTGCTGGACTTGAACCGGCGACCCTCCGGTTGCCAAGTCCCTGGCTCTAGATGGGGCATTCACGTTTTCTTGCCTTTCGCAGCCACTATAGTATATACGCCGATCAGGCATAACATTATGACCACTGACAGGTGAAGTAAATTAACACTGATTAATCTGGTTATTCATTGGGCACCTGTCAGTGGGCGGCATATATAAGGCAGCAAGTGAACACTTTGAGCGACTTTGACAAGGACTAAATTGTGATGGCTAGACAACTTGGTCAGACCATCTCAAAAACTACAGCTCTTATGGGTTGTTCCCTGGCTGCAGTGGTCAGTATCTATCAAAAGTGGTCCAGGAAGGAAGGAAAAGGGGTCCAAGGAAGGGTCATGGGTGGCCAAGGTTCATTAATTCACGTGGGGAGCAAAGACTGGCCCGTGTGGTCTGAGCCAACAGACAAGCTACTGTAGCTTAAACTGATGAAGAAGTTAATGCTGGTTCTGATAAAAGGTGTCAGAACACACAGTGCATCACAGTTTGTTGCGTATGGGGCTACATAACATTATGATCACCAGGGTGCCCTGGTGGTCCGAATGTTATGGCTGATTGGTGTATATAACACTACCACTGTTGTGTTTTTAAAACACTCAGAAACACACTGTTGACTAAAAACATGGAAGCTAATTTGAAACTTCCACTTGTTTTTTGAATAAATGACAGGCAAGAAGTAGGTAACACATATATCTAGTGCTCTTTCACAGCTGACTCTTCTTCTCACCAGCAAGATAATGAAAAAAAGAGATACGAAGATAAAGATAGAGGGAGAGAGAGAGAGAGAAAAAGATTGATTGTTTGATGGTCAGAAACAAAGTCAAAGTTAATTTTGTAATTGTGTAATGTAATTTATTATAAAGCTGACTTTATCAGGGATTTCCATAAGGAAACCCAGTAGCCAGCCAGTGGGGTAAAGTAGTCAGCTCGGCTGTAAAAGCATGTTATTTGACAACATTGTCTGTTTCAGTGTATGTTTGCAATGCAATTTAGACATCGCATTGTAAATAAAGATCATTCATTCATTCATTAAGCGTGTCTGTGCGTATATGCAAAATGCAGAGTTATTGTTGACTGCGCAGTTGTCAAGTTGCTGCCACCAGTGTTTTCCAAAGTAGGCCATCTAAAAAGGCCTGTATGTGCAATCAATGCAATTCTTAATGTGTTTTGTAGTCAATTATGTTGCTAATATTTGATTTAGATTTGACTGATACAGACTGACAGGGATGTTTCTCTGTCATCAAGCTTGCATTATCTCACAAAGCCATCCCAGGGCTCCAGACTAACTTTTTGCATTGTTGCGCCTAACTTTTTTTTTTTTAGGTGCACCAGCACAAAGCACCAGCACCCAAATTTTTCATTGCGTCGCCTTTAACGCCAATAAGGTCACCTTTTTATCGCTTTCCATAACTTTCATATAATGTGATGATTTTTAAACAAGAATAAGGTGTAATGCTTGTCTTTATTTAAGCACCAATTAATAATAAAAAGAAAAAGTGTTTAAAGTGCTTCCCTGAGCTGAAATTGAACATTTTCAAATTTAACACTAAAGCAAAATAAAACATTTCAAAATGTGCTACTTTTTAAAGAGCTGGGGGCTTGGCATCTACCAGGGACCAGGGCTCCGTCATTAGAACGATATGATCCGAAACGATTCAGTGACTTGAAATCGATTCAGTACTTTTTAGCCAAAAATTCGAACCAGTCTGGACTTGAGAATAAATACTGTTATGACAGTGCAGGGTGAAGGTTTCCTAGATTCCTGTTGTTTCTTGTAAGGAATCGGTATCAATAGGGTAGGCCATTTCCTCACATCAAAAAGGAGGACACTTTGCATACCGCAGCATGATATTTGTTTGGTATGATCCGTTTTAAATTTTAATGGATTTGATTTTCCACAGTTACAATTTTAGAATTTCAGCCAACAACCGGACGTTGCTGCGCAGGAGCGCGTTGTTTCGTGGCGAATCAACACATGCTCATTTGAATTATTAATTAGCCATGTGTTGATCGGTCCGACAGGAAAAATTTAATAGAATGTAATGAAAATTCTTACTTACTTTTTGTCCAATAATTTGAATAATGTGGTCAAAAGGCGAACCTTTTTTGTTATTTCTTCAGAAGAAGGACAAATGAGTGTATTCTATAAAGTCTGACGTGCTTTAATCAATGCTTATTTCCTAGTATTAGTAAAATCGACGATTACTTTAAAACCGCGTTAGATCAATATGTCGTCCAGAAGGCCTTGCCAACACAGTCGATGTAGTTGGATCATAGGAATATAAATCGTACACGATGTAGTAGATGATCGTTACAACCCCTATTTTCTTAATGAAAAAATTAATTATTTCGCTCTCTCATTTTCCCTCGTTTTGTCGCGTTTATTTGTATTTTTCCGTTTCAGTAAGTCAGCTATTCTGGCGCTCAGGTTTGGGCTAATTTTTAAGCACACACCAATTTAGTGCGGTGAACAGGACATCAGCCAATTAGGGAGGAAAAGACCCGCCCGAGCTCGTCTCTGATTGGTTTAGAACGTGATATGCTCCTACCATGAGTGTGGTCGAGTTCGGTTCACAGGAGATCACAGAGAGGATGATGCGCTTGCGAAATAAATTTATGTTTTCACCCGGGCAGCGTCAGGTTGCACCAGTGCGACCTAGAAAAATTATTAGTCGCACTCTTAAAAATTTTGGTCGCACTCTGGAGCCCTGCATCCACAACATGTTAATCAAAACAATTTTATTCGAAAAAGAAAATTAATATATTGTAGCTTCAATGAGTAGGACTTCAGTGAGTAGCCGGCAGTTGGCATGTAAAACTCTGCTTTATGGTTGTGCATTAAAGGACCGGTGTGTAGGATTTAGTGGCATGTAGCGGTGTAGTTACAGATTGGGAATGAGAACAGGCTGTGAAGTGTGTAAGTGAAACTATGGTGGCTGTGAAACATGAAAGGCCCTATCTACAGCCAATGTTTGGTTTGTCTGTTCTAGGCTATTTTAGAAACAAAGTGGTTCAACATGGTGGATTACATGGAAGTCTGTATAAAAACAGTTAATTCTACGATATGACATGCTGGCATGTCGTTGATTATATATAAGTCAATGCCCCAGACTAACCCATTACAATCTATGTGTGGCTTGTTTCCTTTATTCGACAGGACAGTTTAAGATAGACAGCAAAGGGGGGAAGAGAGGGGATGACACGCAGATAGGGCCACAAGTCCGACTTGACAGCCTATTTCTTATTTAAAATAATCAGAAACAGCCTCCAGCTTAAATGACAGCCCAGCGTGTGGTGCATTTATCCAGTCAGGTGGGGGTAGGTTTGGTGTTTACATTTGAGTAGAAGAAGTAACTGTCAGTCATCTAATGTACTGTCTACTTGAAATAACATCTCTTCAAAGGTAATAGTTCAATCTAGTCAGAGCAAAGTTCTGGGCCGACATCTGGGCTGACATATGACAGCTTACTCTTAATTTTGATACACTTTGAAATAAAGGAAAAAGGGAGGGAGAGAAATAATTTCTGTTGGTGCTGAGTTCCGTGTCTGTATCTGAGTGTGGGTTTGCACTTGTTTTATCTACCTCTGTTTGTTTTCTATTTGCAGGGTGAATGTGTGTGGAGGGCAGTGCTGTCATGGATGGAGTAAAGCTCAGGGATCACAGCGGTGCACAAAGCGTAAGTGTGCAGCAACTCCTTTCAACACTTTTTGCTACTCCAGCCTACATATAAACACGGTGCCGGCTAAAGAGCTCCAGGCACCCAAATCAGCTTTGACACTACGCACTCTTCTCTTTCTTATAAATATCATAAATATTGAGGTCAGTCATGAATTCACTTTATCAAGGAAGTGTAAATCTACCTCTCATACATGTTATTTGATTCTGTTACCGGGGGCTGTCAAATACGTTTTAATTTCACCCTGCTGTTCATATGAAGATAGCATCACCTTGGAATGTGGGAAGAGTGTTCCCTCATGATCACCTTTCCAAAACTGGTCACGTGTTGAAATAAGGGAGAATGTTTATGGGCCAGAGCATGTGAACAGAGTGGAGCATTGAGAATTTCCACTCCTCGTACAAGAGCTGTTTGCTCCCTTCGCTGTTCAAAGCCGCTCGGGGCTGCTCTGCTCAATATCGCTTCGCACTCAACTCAGATTTCACTCCGCTCCACTAAAATCGCTCACCACTCACTCTTACCTGTATGATAAAGCTGTATATGTCATGCTGAGGAAACACAGATCAGACACACACACATACACAGGCAGCAGGAGTGAAGACCCTCTCTGGAGATCATAGCAATGTGGTCCTTTTAACCTCATTGTTGCAGAGGAAGCAACACCCTGCTTATCCATGAACGCATATTTCATGAGATTATTATAAAGATCAGCTGTGTGATTAGAAAGGAGCAGAGCAGCTTGTTGACTGGTGCGGAGAAATTCTCTTTTGATATAGGATCAGGGTTGCTCGCAATTGTATGGTTATGTATGGGAGGCATGGAAATGATCTTGGGGACATGTACAGTGGTATGTACACATGCACAGTGGTACCAGAGGTAAGCATACATATACTGCTGCTTCAACTTAAAAAGAAAATCCGCTCTGCACTGCATCCAAAATCCTCCCGATCTCGACTCATAAGGCTATCCTTTTTTGGCAGTGCCATCACATTCTTCTGTTTAATCTTTGTCCTTAAGTGAAGAGTCAGCAGTAGCTGAACTGAAATTAACTTTCTCAAGCTTACTTCTGCCCATTAATAGATATACGATGTAGTAAGCTTCAATATTTGACTATTGACTCTACATTAGGGTACTTTTTTTATAATTAACAGGATTAAATGTTCACATTATCATAATGTGATAATTTGTTGTTGTCTGAGCCACTTTGTCTGTTTACATTAACACTTTGTCTGTTTACATTAACATAACCCAAAGCGTCAGTATTTATTGACCTGGCAATGAGACTCCAGAATGACTGACCCCACCTTTAACACTATTCTAGGATTGGGTGATTTGATGAATATTGTCTATTGGCTAAGTTGTGCGAGTTGTTGGTTGTTGGGCTGACAGAGGCCGACTAGAAAATTTTAACATATTGCACAACCCTACTTTATTCTGTCAACATTCTAGTGCCTAGACTAGACTAGTCAGTCAGGGTTTATATTTGATACCATAGTGTCACTTACTTTGTTTTGCCATGGCTTAGAATTTTCCACAGACCCACAAAAAGTATTTCAGTTTTAAAGTTCCAGTACTTAACATTTAAGAGGATCTATTGGAAGAAATGGTAATATTCACAGGCATGCTTTCATTAGCGTAATCACCTGGAAATAAGAATTTTTGTTTTTGTTATCGTAGAATGAGCTGTTTTTATCTACAGAGGGAGCAGGTCACCTTCCATGGATTCCACCATGTTGAACCGCCAACCAAACCAAACCAAACCAAACACTGTAGATAGATAGATATTCCTTTATTTGTCCCACAATAGGGAAATTCCAATGTTACAGCAAAAAATTGGATAGAGAAAAAACAGTATACAAAACAGTAAGAGTACAGAAATAATAAAACACTATGTATAAGAGAAAAAACAGTAAGAATCCACAACAACAGATAACACAAATAGTAGCAGCAACACAAATAGTAGCAGCATAGATGGAGCCCTTTGTGTTTTTTGCAAGTTTTGTGGCCACCGTAGGTTCCCCACATGCTTCATAGCCCATTTTCATTCCTATGCCATCAAAAACAGAATTCTGTGCTGTTCATTAAGTTGCAATCTGAAACTTCACCACTAGATGCCACTAAATTCTGGTCGTTGTCCTTTTAAGCTGTTGTTTCAAAGAACACAGCACATTTTGTTCTTACAGACAGATTATATTTCATAATTAAAAAAAAAAGATTAATTCTGCAATAGTTAGTGTGTGCAATGCATAAATTAGGATACAATCTGTGCAAACATGCATTTCATTAATGAGGCCTAGTGTCAGGAAAGTTTTTTTTAATTTTTTTTCAGTTGCTGTCTGCCGAGTCATGAGAAGTTATTACTATCCGACTGGCAAGAGCACGTGTCTCAGGGTGAAAGAGAAACAGATTTGAAATGGTTTATATCTCTTGGCCCAGACCCATAGGCCAGATCACTTTCTTATTTGCAGGGTCTTGCCAACTTATTATTTAATAAGTAAACAACTTTTCTCCAGTTCTGTGCCCATCTGTTGGAGTTGGAAAGAAAGAGAGGGAAAGACTACTAAAGTTCTCTGGCGAGCAACAGGAGTTAAATAGATCTCACAGCTCTGGCTCTGTCAATCTCTGAACATTAAAATATACTAGGTACATCACCTTGAGTCTGTTGTATTCCACAGCAGAGGAGAGGAGAAGAAACTGTACTCTAAACGACACTCCACAAACCAATGGGTGACATCACAACTCTCTAAGCTAACTAGCTTTCTAACTTTCAGTTTACAAGTTAGTTAGCTTGCTTGCTAATGGGATAGTAAATTCACACAGTTTTCAGTTCAGTTCAGTTCAGTTGTATTTGTATGGTGCTAAATCATAACAGAAGTTATCACAGGACACTTTCAAATAGAGCAGGTAAAGACTGTACTCCATTTAAAGTAACATCAACTCCTATCTTATAACTGTCTGCAAACCATGCCTCTTTTATGGAGCTTTTGATACTCAAGCAGAGCAGGGTTATGTAAAAATGGATTGTGCAACACTCAGTGCACTGTGGTAGATTTAATTAATCTAGCAATAATGTGCAGATTTTTTTCCCCAATCAATCATTTAGTTGGAGACTAGGTAAAATTTCAATTTAACAATATTTTCTTTGGTTGACTACAGCCCTATAACTCTCTAGAAATTGCTTGGAGTAGACAGTACTTAAATTTTTGCTTGTTTTTTATTTTTTGCCTTCTTGTCAAGTAAAAGTTTTTTGGGGATGCGTATTATTTTATTGTCCTCATAGAAAAAAACAACAGAAACAGAAGTCCTGTTGTCATGCCCTGTTGGACTGACATGTAGAACTATATTGGGCTCACCTTTTGTTTTTTCTTTGGAATCAATCTTGCAGACCGCTCTTTTAATGATAAAACAGTCACAGTCACACAAATATTTTTGTAACTTCTAGCCGGCATGTGATGACTTCAAACAGATCCCTCCTCCAGTCCTTCCTTGCAAACAAGTGATGCAGTCAAACATGGCAACAATGCGAATGAAAAATTTTGTTCAGGCACTCACTTACACATGGCCACAGGGGCTATTTAGTCGCCATGCACAAAGTGTTCTTTCATGTTGTCAGTACAACCTCCACACCCTCACCCTCACTGAACCATTCCATGTTGTGGGAAGACCTAAAAACTGAAAGTTTGACCCTGTCCACTGTTACCAACAGCAAGTTAAATCTGGGACATTATCTGTGTTATGTCACAAATAATACACAGTCAGATGTCTGATATTTGTTCAAGAGGACTTCAAAAGACACAACTAATCAGAGAAAGCAATGACTTGTTTGTCCGTCTTTAAATGGCATCTTTATAGTTTAAGTCACACTCGTTCTTGCTGCAGAAGTCAAACTCTTAACCTCATGTTATTAATAGTGTTCAGTCAGGAATGTTCCTTGTGTTCTTCCCTGATTGCCATAAATAAGATAAAAATTGACACAGATGTATGTTGGGAATGTACTTATTGCTGTAGAGCACAGATTGTTTTGTCTGCTTGTTTTCTTGGCAGCCATAGTGGACAACATGTGATTCAGCTATACAAAACTCATCTGATTCAGGAGAAATGAACAGGAGACATTTCAGTTCTTCCTCCAGACTGGGTCAAGTCAAATGTCTGCAGATTATTGAATTGCAGGGCAGAATAGCGCTTTGTCAAATTTGCCACCGTAATGCAAACACACTCCTGGAGGTTATGATATACCAAAGAAATACAAAAAAAAGTATGTAAAGAAGTTAACAGGAGATGGCTGGTATTATAAAATATGTTTCAAATCTGAAAAATTGTCACAAAATTATGACTAACCTGATAATCAGACTGAAATGCCATTTTGTTAAAAAGTTAAAAAGTCCTGTTTTGGAACCGCGAACTAATTAATTAATAATGTGTTCGTCTTGATTTCAACCTACAAGAGCTGTCACAACAGCTTCCAGTCAAGTAAACAAACTAACGTAAAGTGTAATTTACCGGCAGGCTACAGCCAGTGGCTACGGAAGCCGTTCGTGGCAGCTCTTGTACCAAAGTTTGTTATCTCGAGATAACAAAGTTTGTTTTCTCGAGACTTTAAACTAATGCAAACGTCTGTTGTCTTTGAACGTTTAAACTAAGCGCTGCCAGCGAACGGCTTCCGTAGCCACTGGCTGTAGCTGTAGCCGAATGGTAAGTGACGTAAGTTAGGACGAACACATTATTAATTAATTCGTTATCACAAGATAACGATCTTTGTTATGTCGAGATAACAAAATAATTAATTCGTTATCTCGAGAAAACAAACTTTGTTATATCGAGATTAATAAGTCGTTATCACGAGATAACAGTGCATACAAAAAAAAATCCATGGCCGTTCTCGGCTTCCGTAGTATTGTACTGATAAGTCCACCAGTATTTGTTTTTGTGAAGTGGGAAGTTATTTATTCTGTGTTTTGAACAATGAGACTTGTGGGATGTTAAACTGTGTTGAAGTAAATGTTTTGTCTCCTTGCTGGTTGTTTGGAAACATTCAGAATCATTACCGCTTTTTCAGGGAGCTGTTAAAAAATATATATGTAAATATGTAAATAATTAAATTCATATCATACATGTGCGACAACCAGTCTTTATTTAACAACAA